GGACACTCTTGTACGACAGAGGGACACTCTGTGGGACACTCTTGTCGGACACTCTTGTGGGACACTCTTGTAGGACACTCTTGTGGGACAGTCTTGTAGGACACTCTTGTGGGACACTCTTGTAGGACACTCTTGTAGGACACTCTTGTGGGATACTCCTGTAGGACACTCTTAAGGGACACTCTTGTGAGACACTCTAGTGGGACACTGTTGCGGGACACTCTTGTGGGACACTCTTGTGAGACACTCTTCCAGCTCCCCAGATACTCCGCGTACTAAAGTTGTACTACAAGGTCGCCAGTCCTCAGCTTCCAGCTCCACAGTTTGCTCCGCGTACTAAAGTTGTACTACAAAGTCGCCAGTTCTCAGCTTCCAGCTCCACAGATTGCTCCGGGTACTAAAGTTGTACTACCAAGTCACCAGTTCTCATCTTCCAGCTCCCCAGATACTCCGCGTACTGAAGTTGTACCACAAAGTCGCCAGTGCTCGCCTGCATTTCGCGCGCTCGACACGCGCGATCTCCGCAGAGGGTTGCGCGGGCACCGGACAAATCGCACTCTCGCCTGCATTTCGCGCACTCGACACGCACGATCTCCGCAGAGGGTTGCGCGCGCATGGGACAAATCGCGCTCTCGCCTGCATTTCCCGCACTCGACACGCACGATCTCCGCAGACGGTTGCGCGTCAAGTCTCCAAAACGAGCGTTTCGTACGAGACTTCCTCAAAAACTCACACATCAAAGTGCAAAACGAGCGTTTCGTACGAGGAAACACCCATCGGAGCACACACAGCACGCAGCCCTGCCAAGCAGTTTCGCGATTCCAGCCCCTCCAAACAACATACGCTCACACGCCAATCCCAATGTGACCGCGACATTCACCTCTACCACAACTCACAACCTCACGATTCCCTGCGCCTGCCACGAATCTTTCCGCGTCCACACGTTTAACGCGCACAAAGTATTGCGCCTGCCACGAAATGTCACCTCCGTCACACCTCGCAACCTCACGATTCCCTGCCCCTGCTACGAAAATCGCACTTCCACACCTCAAAACCCGCACAAAGTCCTGCACCTGCCACGAAAAGTGACAATATCATCTCACGTGAGCTTCAACAAAATTTGCACCACACCACACGTTTGGAATGATTTCGACCCGTTCTGAGCACACTCCCATCCACCAAAATCGCCATTTCAGCTGAGACTTGTCACGAAAACCGAGCTTCGCTGCCACACCCTGCAACGCAAATCCCAATGGCACGGCCACATCCAACACCCCAAAAACACGACTCCCCAAACGCTAATCCCAATGGAGCTGCGCAGCAAACTGCGGATCTCACAAAACGCTGCGCCTGTGCAGCAGAATGCATCACGTTTCTTGCGCGACATGTCATTGTCATGCAAATCACAATGGAATAGCGGGGCAAACTAACATATGACGCATCCATGCAAAGTCACTTGCAAAAGCTTCCCCCAATGGCAGCAAATTTGAGACGCGACGACGACGACAAACGACGAGAGACGACGAGAGACGACGAGAGACGACGACACGACGCAAACCATGCAAACACAGCTCCAACCCCCAGACCCCCAACTATAAACGGGAACCCTTCGCTACGCATTCGGGAAAAACACTCAGCAGAAAGAGCATGAAAGAGCTCACAATGCTCACAGCCCATCTGAGCTGAAATGAGCTACACCACCCCCAGCCCAGTCGGCCTTCAAGTCCCGGTGTACAACAATTGGATTTTGAGAGTGCAAATAAGCAACGCCTTCCGCCAATTGCAAGCACCTAAGAGCCGCTGCGCTTACACGGAGCAATTTATTGAAATGCAATGTTGGTTGAATCGCAAATCGTCGATGCTTGGTTTGTTAGTTGGCTGTGGTTCAATTTGGACGATTGGGCCGTTGCTTCCAACACTCGACCAGATATACGTAAATGCTATTTTCATTGGCCAACAAGACACATAATACATGAGTTGGAGCAGTTGGGAACCGTCAGACGAGTCTGTTGTCATCACGCAAAGGAACATCCCTCCTAGAACGCAAATGGAAGTTACAAACATCTCCGATCAAAAGTGGGGTGCTCTCATCCGTTCTGCTGTAACGGATGTCGTGTGGCCCAAGACTGGCATCCCTTTCCATAAGCAGGGTTGGCAGAAAACTCTAGCTACATCTTGCACTTCAACTGACAGATCCCCTCCAGCTTTGCCAAGTGGATGGACAGCGTCACAGGATTGGTGAATGTGTAGGCAAGCCACTATGCATCGCTATGCTGTACAATGAGCTGTTTGCTAGGCCACCAACATATTTGTGCAGTGCAGCAGCCTTAGATTTGAATTGCGTTCGCAGAGTCTCTAGTCAGCAAAGTGTTTTGTCATTGGTGTGCCGAGAAGCGGTAAGTGGAGTTTCCGCACATGCAGCAGGTGATGCAAGGATCCACCAGGTGCATACTGCAGTTCACAACGTTGCACATGTTTTACGTAGCCAAATAATTAGTATATACTGTAATTAGTTAAAAATCGTCTTTGGTAGCTTGTCTACTGTAGACTTGTCGTTAATATCGAATTTCCTATGCTGGGGCATGTCAGGCCACTCAAAGCTGATAACACATTATCGTGACTAGGTGAGCCACAACGCAAATGCTGATTGAAGGTCCTCTGTTACAATGCACCTCAGAGCATGAAACTAGAGGATCTGTCGCTTCCAAAGGCCAAGCAACTCATTTAATTTGACATTACTTACAAAACACTATATATATTCAAAACTGAGATGAAAGCAGGTTTGGGATTTCTAGACATGCCCCCACGAAGTTCACCAAGCGCTTGTGTCGCAAATGCCTGGCAACGAAGCCATTATTTCGACACAGCCTGTAGTAGTTTCGGTGCCTGAAAGATTCGATCTCTCGAGTCAAATCCTGGATAATGACCTGTCAAAGAGTCGGATCAAAGCAAAAAGGATCAAAAAGGAGCATGAATCATCATGAATCCAGAAGCTTTTAGAAGTCAGAGCGGTCAATCTGATTCGTAGATACCCCTGTTTCTTTATCTAGTCAAGCGCTTTCAATCCGGTTGATACTGTCTAGTCCAAGCCTGTGGCAGCACAGTGTTGTCCCAGTAGAGCTGCTTGATAGCAACCTATCATGCACTTCGAGCAAAGAGTGTTGGACATGGAAAAACCCCTGAAAGCCTCCTGGCCGCGGTAAAAGCCACGAAAGACTTGTCCAAATTCTCCAGAACCTCAAAACTTCTGAAACGAGGTCAACCTCTGGTGCACGTTTGCATGTGGGTCTTGTTCAGTGTGGTTCATGCCTTATTGCGTTGCCTAAGGGCCTAAGGGTCTTTTCTCGTCTCAAAACGCTGAACAAATGCCAA